GCCGTTAGTGGAACTTGACGACAACGACTGAGATACCAACCGTCCTGGGCGGGGTTGTTGTAGCCGCTACAACAACAACAACAACAACGACATACAGACGAGCCATTAACGACATCCATAGAGTCAGTCACCACATACCTTGACTCTCGACCTATGAATGCCGTAATAGGAGCGCAATCACCACCCGTAGAAGACACGGAGCTTCAATTTCCAAGAGAGACCCACGTTACCCTATCTCAATTACGGTCTGGATACTGTAGCCGCCTCAACAGCTACCTGTCCAGACTCGACCCCAATATCCCCAATGAGTGCCCGGCATGTGGAGAATCCCCTCATGACACCAACCACCTCTTCACATGCAAGCTTAATCCGACTCAACTGACACCCCTTTCCCTCTGGTCCGACCCAATTGAAACAGCTCGTTTCCTGGGACTCCCGTTAGTTGAGCTTAACGACAATAATTGAATGTTGCCCGCAATAGGCGGGCCTTAGTAGTGCCGCTACAATAACAACAACAACACCAATCGAGACTCCCTCTGGTGGTTGAGGGAGCTTTGAAATGTAGTAATTGAACAGCAATGGGGAAAGGACACCACCCTGTGGAACCCCCTGTTTTATTTTTCCAGGTTTACTCGATTTGTCTCTTAACGTTACTGACGAGTTAAATTAAATATTAAAATATGACGTGAAAGAAAGGTGGTAAGACATCCTTAGTTTGAATATTTAGACGAGTTACTGACGAGTTAAATCCTTAGTTTGAATATTTAGAACACCTGTTTGTTTTGCCACCTGTTTAAAAAGGTAAACTCAAATTATTTTAAAAGTTAAAGGCTTTATTTCTGAACTGTGTTTAACTTAACTTAACTTTAAAAACGGCCTCAAGCTCAATAAAAACTGTTGAACATATTTGTTGAAAGGCCATAAAATAACAAAAAACAAGTAACTTAAGGACGAGCACACCTAAAAGTTAAACATTCTAAAAATAGAATTATTAACAAAAACCAACAAAACCAACAAAACCAACAACCACATGTCAAGTATGAATTGCAGCGGAATAGCTGCGCTGTGGGGAAAAAGCAACGATAGTTTACAAGGCGAACTTAGCACAGTTCGTAGACAACTAGATGAGTCAGTGGGATCATCGGTTCGAATCCTACTGAAAGAAGTCTGATGAGAAAATGGGGTGAATTCCGAAATAGCTATCACTTCTACCATTTTTTCAACTTATTGTTGCTTTTCCACAATAAATTTTTCATTAAAAACGGCCTCAAGCTCAATCAAAATTTTTGAACATAAGGCACGGTGCACATTAGCGCGATACGATATGCGATGCGATATGCGGTACGATACGCGATGCAATATGAAATGCGCGCAGTGCACATTAGAGCGATGCGATACGCGATGCGACATGCGATGCGACACGCGATACCATTTTGTGATAGCTACACAAACTTTTGTGCCATTATAAGCTTGTTAATGAGTTAAATAAGTTGCTTCTCAACCGAGTTTAGACCTTTCGAATGATGGGTCTATGTTTATAACTATAAATTTTTAAAAAATTTAAGAGAAAAGCATGTTTAATATCGAGTAAAACTGATGTTTATTTTTACAAAGTCCACTAAAAATTAAATTAGATATTCAAATTTTTATGACAAATTATTTCAGAATATTGCTTTCACTACAAGTAGAAATCTATGAAGGCTAAATTAAAAAAAGGTTAAGCAAAAATTTTTGAGTTGTATAGCCAAAAATATCCTTTTTCTTATGAAAGGTTGAATAACTTTCCCCCGAAAATACACACAGATCTCTTAAATTTTCTAAACGTTTATATACATATATATGTATATCATTCGAAAAGTCTAAACTCGGTATATAGTAGTATAGGTAAGATTGTGTGGGTGTGTGACAAAAATTTCGTATCTCGATTCTTACTTCACTCGGTAAAACCTACCTGAAAAATAACATGACTTACCAGGTATTTTTACTTCATTATT